GACTTTTCTTTGATGATGATGCTGATGCTGATGATCCTGATGGACTAAGTTTCTATTGGTATAACACAAGTCTACCATGCTATGATACTTTTGTGAGGTTCAGTGTGCAACTGTTGCAGAGTGATATTCACCAGGCAGTTTTGAACTGGCAGCAGGCAGTCTAGATTCCTGCATACTTTGATTCCGGGACAGCTATCAGATTCAAATGTCTTTCAATGTGATAATGCAGCGATAGACTGAAGCTCTTTTAGCGAGATATATTTGTTGATCCATACTGTTAGGACTACAGATTGCGTACCTTACTCTCTTAGTTTAACTCGACAGTAAACGTCTTGAGTATGCTGGCGCGAGAGATGCGTACAAAAGGTCGCGAGTCACATCGTAATAATCTACTTCTGCTTCCTTTCAGGAATAGACGAAATTCGCAGTTGAATTTGCGTGAAATTTGAGCAAATGTATAAAAAATACTTGTTTCATTCATGGCTGATATTCTAGCCATATGGTTATTGTGATTATGCGTTTAGAGTTTTCTTTATGGCAATTTGTGCCTCCAACTAGATACTGCGGACCCTCAATTTCACGGCTAGGTCTCCCTGCTAGAGACAGAAATAAACGATGGATGACAGCGACCACCAAACTGCATTCTCTGTACTTTAGGCTCCTAATTATATTCTACGCCCTTTAAACATATTCTGAACGAAATGTGTTATCCGAAGAAGGAAAAGAAATGGTAGATTTGCTCAATATTCGTAAAATCTCATGCTCAATACCGCACTCAGCCTCATTCGCTGTGCATCGCGTTACGTGGTCGATTCATTCTCTTAAGTTTCGTGGTAGCCTAATCGTTTTATCGAATGTCAGATGTTTAATTTCTTCAAGAAGGATAAATCCATGCCATTTTCAAAACTCAAGGGCTTTACTTGGTGTTTTCGCCAGTCAACTGCAATTTATGGGAAGTGTCTTGCGCCAAAACTGCATAAGAGAAAAAATTCTTCAAGATTTGTTGTTTTTGAAGAATAACGCATGACCTTCCCAGCGCACAGCTCCTCGGAGCTCAGATGACACCTTGTTCGGAAGTATAAATTAGAAACGCCATTTACGCTGTTTTAAAGGGCAAATCTGTTAGTTGACTTCGGGCATGGTTACTCATAGCAAGAACTTTGAATTTCACTTCGCTGGTGAAGAACCTGCCTGTTTGGTAGAAGAAACAACATCAGAACCAGTCGGAAATGAAGAGTGACATGATTCGGACCTTTGAGTCGAATAACCGGTGGGCTGGCAATAGGTCCTTTTTTCTTCTGATCTATAGCCTGCAAATTATTCAAACTTTATTTGTAATTGCCTTATTTCAAACAGCAAGTTCTCAAAAACGGCTCTGTACAGGTTTCGCGGATGTGACGCTTAAACGGAAGCATCAACAAAAAGTAGATATGTCCCTTCAAAAAAAATTTGTGAACTTCTGGGGGGCGTGAAATGTGGGACGCTATAGGATAGTTGATTAGCGTATTTTGATCTGGATGAGTTTAGGGAAATACACTCATCGGCATACCACTTTGGTTTTGAAGAGGGAGACTTACCTGGAACCTAGCTGAATCTATTGTTAGTGGAGTTCTAAAGTAACTTAACAGAGTTGTATTGCGTATCCGAATATGTGTTTTTGAGTAAGTGGTCATTGTTCTAGGGTTCGCCACCCCAGGCGTCAGCGCAAAAAGTTATTAACAAACGTTTCTGCACTTGAGCTCCAAAAACAATAATTGAGCCGTACAGTTAATTTGTTCGACCAATTTATGATACAGTTTATGATACAATAGGCAAGATATAACAATGAATGAGCATCTGAGCCTACAATTACTGCTTTTTAGCCTCTTAAGCTGAACGCGTTTTATCAGTCAGCCATTGTGAGCAGTCACTGCACACAAACCAACTCCATACAGCGTTACAGCAGTGACTCAAGTAATGAATGTCCTCCCGTTCGCCTACATCCAGCAGATTCCCAAGGACTTCAAACTGAAGTTCCATATTCATTTGGAAATTATCTTCTGCCCTCTCTGAATAGCCAGTTCAAGGTACAAACCCTGTATTACGTACTTGTTAGATATAAGTTTATTCCACAAGCACTCTTCATATGAGTAAAAATGTTCGGCAACTTCATTCGCTTCATAAGTATCATCTTTATTACTAGAGATTTCATCCTTGAAGATGAAGACAAACCATGTAGAAAAGCAAAGAGGCGCTACACAACTCGACATATACACTCATTGGCAAATCAATTCGATTTTCACGGGGGACTCAACCAAATCTCTCGTTTAAGATATCCTTCAACTGAATGTGCTTCACAAGGGCTGCCTCATGTTTAGTTGGCGCGATTTTCAGGATATCACAGCATGCTTTCGATAAAGGGAACTGGTCACGAGGTTGCTGAAAACTCTTCGACAGCATTGTCCATCAAACAGATATCATGTAGTTTTTAAACTAAAGTCTCACGACTAGTATTTGGAGATTGAACGTCCGTTCACGAGCCACTGATCAGCACTGTGAGTGCTTTTCTGCTCCACACGTTTGCTTGATTCCGTATGCGTACAGATGACGGGTTTCGAGACTCCCTGGAGTCTGATGACGATGTCCAATAAGGATGAAATAGCTGTGCTGCCAGGCTTTTCATCTTAGGTTGGCTTCATTCATAAAAAATCCCAACTTCTCATATATCCCCTCACATTAACAAAGGGTTATCCTTATTGTTCTGGTATAATTATGATTATTTTTAAGAAGCAGTGATTATGTGGAAGTCATCAGACACAAAATGACATATATGGGAAGGATCGTGAATTGTTCCGGCAGCTTTATTAGGTATTATCATCTGGAAATTAGAAGAGGGTGAAACAAACCGTGTAACTTCTATCCATATTATATCACCGTTATTCTCGCGAATACCAAACTACCACCAAATATCTTAAATAAAGCATTAAACGAGACAGAGGAAGTTGAGAAGCCCAGTCACCCTTCAAAAGTTGGAGAAATGACGCTAATTTATCTAAGAATGCCATAATACTTAAGCACTGATCAACCACCGGACTATTCCAAATCCATTTTGAGTCACCTCACTCCGATTCAAATTCGCTAAGATGTCGGAATCACTAAAACAATGCAATTTCATAAATTCAGCGAACTATTCATAAGGTTGGTGGAGTCTGTTCGACAGCCTACGACCGGTTTCGTTCTTCCAGGGGCACATCGGACAGGCGCAATCCCCGTATTTTCCTATATCTTATAATATAACTGAACCCACTTTTCTGTTTTCTGTCTGCTTGTTCACACGAGAAATGCTCTAGAATTTTGGAAACCAATCGTTACCTTTTGAAGATGTGTCATTGTAGTGACCATCAAAAGAATACACGGGTTCACTTGCAGCTACATAGAGTTAGTTACGGGGTAACAAGTAACTTTGTCCAGTTATTTAATATCTCATTGGAGTTAATCATCAAGTAAGGCTGGGAAACAACCAGAAAGGGCTATTTATTTAATAGGATGACTCAGTTAGACAGCAGAATCGCAATACAACTTCCAGTGTTTTGAATTTATCAGGGATAATCTAGCTGAAACATACTCAAATCATCGTTATTTTCACTCCCCTCAAATTTCTATTTAGTTCTTTAAAATTGTAGAACGAAGTTCTGAATACCGATGACTACAAAACAGAAGAGATCCGAAACTAGCTGCTGGTATGCCTACCGTTTGAAACAAAAGGTCCATATATTTACTAAAGTTCTTCAAGTTCCAAACGAAGAAGGTACTTACTTCTGTGTCCAGCGACCAAACAAGTTCCTCTTCAAATACCCTTTCCCTCTCTTTTCCCATCTGAATCTCTCGACGGAAGCCACCGTTTGCCTCAAGAATGGATCCCGGTGGTGAGATTTGCAAAGTGAAGTTTCCCTCTTTGGTTACGGACTTATGAACACTAATCCGACAACTTGCAGTAGTTCGGCGTTCGGTTCGCAGATGGTTGGTTTGCGTCTCTCCAGTATTATTTACGAATGTCGAAGAAAATATGACATGACTCTTCAAACCCTTTTTCATTGTATTTGTTGCCGGTTGTTGAGGTAGGCCATTCGGGATGAGTGGGGTCTTGTGTTCGGATGCATCGGTTTCGTGACATGTCGGTTTGTTTGTTATGCGCAGGCGGCTCATATCAATGTCACTGACTTTCAAATCGTCCAAATTTACACGAGATTTGACCTCTTTTGGAAGCGGAAACTCGTGTACATAGTTGAGAAACAGGGTACATATTTCAACTGGATTTTCGCTCTGATCATCTTCCCACTTTTTGACCGTTTTGCTCATTGTGATGGCACACTAACCAAAATATCCTGGTCAATTTTGATGTGGACTTCACTCAGCAGCTTTACGTTCCACACGCAAGAATGGTAATGGTAGACTGACGTGCGAACTGACGCAGGGTTGCAATTCTCGCATGTGTGCTTCAGCTGCTGTTTGGACGAAAAACGCAGACCAATCACCGTCGAACTAGTACATCCCGACCTCGAACGTCGTGGTGACAGGCCGCATGTCGAGAAGGTACATCTGTACGCCATCGGAACCGCAGAACAGAGTCAGGTTAGGGTCGGAATGCGGATAAGAGATTTGCTTGAAAGTGAGAGGGCAAATTACCATGTTTCGAATGTTCTTTTTAGAATAACGTTTTGGTCCGTTGATGGCACAGTAAAAATAAGACTGACATTCCCACACTCAGCTAATCCAAGTGACACCGGCTAAAGCACTGTAATTGAATGCGAAAAAGAATATTTTGCGAAGCAAAACATTTACACGCAGTTTGAGTGGTTTGTTGAGGGTATCCGGTCGTGGTTGGAGTGAGTGTTCCAACCACCAGGTTTGGTGATCATCGTGTATTGACAAATCGAGGAATTTCAGTTTGCTTTGCTTTAGTTACAGATACCAGCTTATGAAGCGCACTGAAGAGAAAAGAGACTGGCGGAGGTGGGCACAAAAACTCTCATTACTACTATTCCGGATATCGGAGGTATCACAAGTGAAATTTAAATGCTCAACTTTCGAAAAAATGCCTTATTGGTAAGTGAGTACTCGTATTCAGAAAATGAGAAAAACATGGGATAGAACGTTATTGGAGTACTTCCTTTTCTTGATATGGCATTATTTACAAGGCAATCATAACACAGTTTTGACTGAGGTTGACACCATTTGGAGCTGGAAATAACATGTTGTTTCTTCTTGTATTTCACGGTTGATGATCACTCTGAAACCCCGAGTAACCGATTAATAAAACTCTGTTCTTTTCGCGCTTGAATATGAAACACCCTGGAAGAATATTGCGCGCTAATAGGAAGTAATATGATATTGACCTCAGTGTAGTCAGGGATCTATCATGTCACTCAACCCTGAGTCTTAGATTGAATTTTTGATGCATTCAGTGGGTAATTCGGAGCTGTTAGCGTTAACATCACAAGAAGGTAGAGCCTGATTAGCAAGCAACACATGTCGGATCCAATAAAACACTCATGAAAAATTCCAGCCTTCTTTATGCCTCATAAATCATCGGAAGTGTGAATGGCTTTAGTGCTGTAAACCCGTGAACAATCCAATGTTTTATACCCTAACAAAATTACCTAATCCATGAAAATGATCGGTTTTTGCATGACCTTGTATAAGTTGTCTGAGCTTTCCAACTACGCGATCAGTTATTTGATCTCTCTTGATCCTTTTGGCCTAAATAAGAATGGGCGGTCTCTGAAAACTGAAGTTTTCTTCATCCGATCACAGACTTATCTTTGCCTGTGAACGTATTTCGCACACCTAGCATGTTACCAATCAGGTTACGCCCAAATTTTTACGTCTATAATGAAGCCATCTTGACTGACCAGAACACTCATGCGGCACTGTATTGATCAGCGTCCCATCCTATCAAATTGTGAAGCAAATGGTGTGACGTGTAGCCTTGCGAAAAAAAAGCTGTCTTGATCATGCAGATTATTTGTTTGGGTTTCAGCTATATGAGGACGTTTTACTGTTTAGGACACCTATTCGATAAAGTTCCGATCAGTTTTCATGTCATGACACCCAACTATCAACTGTAATAATGATTTCGTGAAGAGTAAGTCACAATAATAACAGTTCATCATGTGAGCAACTCAATCTGCTTTAATCATCAAATGAGACCATTGCTACTCACAAAAAATGCCTGGTTGTAAGGCTAACTTGTGCACTTCAAGGACGACAGACGCTTTCGAGAGTGCGTAACACATAGTCACAAAGTCCGTATACACGTGGAAGCTAAGGCAGCTTCCGGAGACGTGAGAGTTGTGGCTCTAAGTAACGTAATATAACGCTACAAAAACAAAATTTGTTTTAGCGACCATTTTAAAGGAACACCACATAAAGTTTTTTGCACTTATTTGGAACTTGTCTGGATTGCAATTCGTACCTCTTCCACATGCAACGTAAAGTCGTAAGAGGTCACAGCATTAAATGTGAATCTCGAAAACTCAATAGTCTTCTTTCCAACACAGACAAACAAATAATAATACGGGGCATTTAGGTTACATCAGGTTTGGGTAGGGTGTACAAGTCTGAAGTGAGAGTGGGCGTTTTGAAAATGTGGCAACTTTTGATGACTCTCGATCGGTTTTCGTGAACACGATCCATTTCTACCTCGCAAGCAAAATAATCATCATGAATTCAATAAACCTTATTCATTTCAGAGGTCAAACATTTTTCAACAGGTAAAAGCCTTGTAGCTAAAGAAACTTTTACAAGGATGATCATATTTCTATTCGCCACGTATTTGCAGGGCTAACGTGTATATTTCAACACAGTAACTGAACCTATACATTCAGTTACATGAAAAAGTAATCATGCCTTAGACGTACACGGTACATTCTTCCAGAGACGATATCACCCGTCACATCCTCGGGAAGTGGATTTAGTCTTCGAGCATTGCTCAATGACAAGTCCATCGGACATTTAACTAAATGCCCTTTAGTACCGATTGTCGTTTTGTTGATGCAGCTTTTGATTTAATCGACCATCTTCTGACTTTCAGGTGTAGATACTTTCAAGCAAAAGTAGACATATGCTTGCAAACTAAGTCAATGTGAACGTGAAACTTAGGAGCACCAGAGATAAATCTGTCGTTTTTGAAACAAGTGGAAGGCTATCGAGAATTTTTCCTCAATAGCTAAGTTGGCATCCTGCTAAATAAACATTTTTCTTGATATTACTCCATTCAGTTGAATAATCAGTTCAAGTGTTCCGAAAAACAGCTACGTCACACTGCCACTGATTTTTTTTCGGTTAACACACAAACATACTGCAAACAGTACGTTTTCCCTCCAGCGGCTCAAGATAATTTCGACTCTTAAGTTAACAAAACTTGAACATTGAGGCTAATTTGGGTTGTAAAGTTTTGTTCAGCTTTACAAAGCTCAACAAAATAGAACAGCACTTTACAAGGAACCAGTTTCCATCCTTGCAGATTGATTCTGTTGTTTTAGGCAAACCGTTATCGCGTGAAGCAGAAAAGCCCTTGGGAGTCATAGCTGTCCATCAACGGTGGATTGTCAATCAGAGGCTGCATAATTTTGTACTGCAGAACGCAGTTCGTTATGATTAAAGCGTATCGGTTGCAAGCAGTAAGATTTGCCAAAGTTTTTGCATTAAAAAGAAGCAGGGAACTATGGTTAGGGTAGGTCATCCATTGATCCGTAAGGGTAAAATCGAAGCACAGCAATGGAAGGATTTTTTTCTGTGGGAAAAGAATGGATTCTATGTGTTCCCAACTAGTCCGGTCATGAGATGTGCATGCTCAAAGCAGCAAGTGCGCTTAGAATTCTGCTACACACGCCCACTTAGGAGTGTTCTCATGATTCTCAACTAAATTCCTTAGCTAACTTCGAGCCCACTCATCATCAAATGAGGGCTCGAACTATTTATGAGTAAACGTTTCCTTTTTTCAGGAAAACAGTGATACGGGCGGCTAAAGTACATTCAGGTCAGTTGCAGAAATACTCCTTATCAGACATTACAGGTGTGTTTGTGCACTTGGAAAAATACACTGTTATGGATAATTCTAATTGAACGAAGAATATCTTCCCCCATAAAACCCAGCATAGTCTCTAGGATAACCTATTATTCAAATCGGAATAGTCACAAATGTTCCTGGCATTAATGAAAAATCTGAGGGCAAGAGGAAATGACAGAACTGGTTGGTTGATATCATGGAATTTCCGTTTCCGTTAAGCTACTGCTGTGGTATCAGTAGGTCGACGAAATCGTTGGTTCGTGCCGTTATTTCTCTTGTGTCTTTGAACACAAAGAGGATTCTGAATGCACAAAAATCTACATCGCAAAATGGATTTCTAAAAAATATTGAATACAAACATGGAATGAGAAAAAAGCTTGGAACAGAAACTCGGCCTGGTAAATTTCGCTTATTTTCGCTGACACCCGTGTCGGGTTTTCTGCTTCCATTTTACTCAGCAAGTGTTGATCTTACCACATTGTGAATATTACTGAAATTTTATCGAAGATCTGGACTATAGACGAGACTTCATAACTGCATTTGTACGAAAATTCGTTTCATTTAAATAGAAAGAGTTTTTGCCCTCCTAGTTCACCTGTCGGCTCGATTATACTCACTGAGGCGTCAAATATCAAGTTTCTTCCCATGACAACCAAAGCATCATCATCATCATCAACAACAGCATGACATCAGTGCTCAACACCAATGCTTCACTGCCGTACAGCCATGACTTATTTGAAAGCCTTATTGTAAAGAAAAGAATAAAGGTGGATGGGGGGGGACTTAGTGCTAGCTTAACACAATCATTCCGAGGTGCCTACACCTCCACACATTCCCTCAGGCAATCTGGACAGAAACTGACAACAAGAACGCCACTGACATCGGTTGGCAGCCATATCTTGTAGTGTCTCCAACCAGGCACAGTGAGGA